TTATGTAGGTTTAATATTTAACAATACCTAATAAATATAATTCGGTGAGATTCCTCCCGTAACTACATATAGTTACGGGAGTTATGATCGGTTACTAAATTTTAAACGAACAGATTCAAATTCCATAAGTATAAATACCAACTTACTGATAGCAATTTACACTAAATGGTAATGTACTAGGTTATCGATTGATTAGGTATTTCACTCTAATTATAAGTAACAAAAATAAAATAAATATACTGTTTTATTTTTTTTCAACAAGTTTAATTAAAATTAAATAATTAAATAATTAAATAATTTAGAAACACCACATGTGTATTAAAACTACAGAATATTATTTTTTAGGATCTCACAAAGAGAATCATTTAATATTCTTGCAATATTTAGAAAATATTATCATTTTACAATAATTCTTAATCTATATTTGAATCAGTTACTCAGTTAATCAGTACAACATCGTTACTAAAATATTTTTAAAATGTTATGTAATTATTGTAGGACAATTTTTGAATATTTGCAAAAAATTTAAATGAAACCAAAAATAGATGCGAAAATGTATGGAACATGCCTTAATTTGTTAGCCTTCCAAATCTATAACCTACGATATAACAACTGCGCTAACAGGTATGAAATAGTTCATAGAAAATTAATAGGTTTAAAATTAATTAACTAAGTTTTATTTACAATTAATGTGTTTCGAAATTAAAATTACGTACTGGCAATTATTATAATATTTCAATGTGTAAATGGTTATTCGTTTTAATTTTAAATTAAGAGCGGAGTAAAGAATCTTTTGGTTTTACAAAGATTTCTATTTTTTTTTTTATCTGTCAGCTACTTTTCTACCAGAAGACTATCTCAGATTTCTTAGTATATCCTGAGGATAAAACTTTTTTTGGAAAAGAAATCTGTATGAAGATGTATTGAAGCGTTTCATTTTTTGGTTTTCTTAGGATTTTTGCCATCAAATTTAAAAAAGGAAAAAAAGAACGGAAAAATGTAGGTGTTAGTTAAAATATATAACGTTTTACTTTTTTTCTGTAAATAACTTTTCAATGAGCAATTATCCTCCAAGTTTTAATGATTTCAATGTTCTTTTAGACAATTTTTCTATGGAGGTACTTTGAAAAAGTAATTTTTTAATTTTCCAAGAGTTTTCCCAGTAAATTTGAAATCCTGGGAAAAAAAAATGGGATACCATAAAAAATGTAGGAATACTGTCAAAATAGGTACAACAGTAATCAAATTATATTTTTTTTAAAAATGTAGAAAGCTAATTTAATTATTTTACTATAAAATTATAAACAGACTGTAGATAATGAATCACTATCAACTGAACTCCGTTCAGAATAGTTTATTTCATTACATCAACTTATTGTTGCTTACAGATACTCATTAAATGACTTATAACAGTTATTGCACCCGTCACAATTATCATAGGACACCTTTTTAACATTAATGTTCAGATAGAAGAAAAAGTAAAACATATAAGTACAATAAATTATAAAACTATGTATTTACTAATTACTGATTACATCATAATCAACCTTTTAACCCTATCCAAAACAATAAAAATAAATATTTTCAAAGTTATATATTAATGATATCCATACGATTACTTGAATTTCGGACCATTTTAAATTTTATTTAAATCGACTTTTGAACTCTACGATAAACGCATATTAAAATAATATATATGAGATATATGAGATATTATATATATGAGGGTTTTTTTGATAATAATCACTTAAACTAAAAGCTTTGAAACACTCGCAGTGTACGGATGTGATAATAATGATCGTAAGATACTGTCATCATTGACATATTTTGATTGGATTTCGAGACAACATAAATATTAGAAGGATCATTAATAATTGGCTAGCAAAGACAATGTCGTGTATGACATTTATTGTCATCATTATCATTGTAAATAAAGCGTGATTTTTGAATAAAACTGAAAAAAAAAAAATACAGAGTCCGTGGAAACTTACGAAAGTAACGCTTTTATTTTTTCAATTTTGTTTTTTGTTATAATTCGGTCAAAATATTCCTAGAGACAGGAAAATATTTTGACAAAAGACTTATATTGGTTTATCAAATTAGTTGTAAAATTTTCTAAATATTTTTGAAATATTGTAGAGCTATTTACAGGCATTTCATAATATTTAGTGTTTTATATAGTTTTTCTTTGATAAGTTCTATGTGGATATTGATAAATTGTTTGATCAAACAAAAATGCATGAAAATTTAAAAGAAGTTAATAATAAGAAGTATAACTGAACTTTACTTTAAATCGTTAATATATGAATCCTACCTTCCCACGTACAACAGCGGCACTCCCGTTTCCAGTATCGGTCATATTTTGTTTGTCCTTATCGCCAGGACTCCCGTTCTAACGTTCGGTGGACGCTAGAGAACTCGGGCTAGTTTTGTGTAATATATTATTCGTTTTAATATCATTGCAATATCGAACACGCATACACCATTACCAGTATTGCTCACGAAATTTTATTATCTTAAAGGTTCGTTCAGGATAGTATTTTTTTTTTTTTTTTTTATCGCGGGGGNTAAATGTATTAGTTTTGTTATCCTAACTTATTTTTACTAGATTTGTTTGATGTTTTGATGTAGATTTGTCTTAGCTTTATTCAATTCTAAATCAATTCTTAAAAACAATAATTTTTATTTGAATGCTTCGTCGTATAATATATATGTATAAGAATATCAAACCGGTAGTCTATTATTATTATTTCTATTTTTTTTTCTCATATAAACGTTCAAAGTTTTTGATAATTGACTTGATGGAGAAGAAATACTATGATTTTATAGCCCACAAAATTTTACTGTTTACGTAACTCAGCATTTTGAAACTTTCAACGCATAAAAATATTATAACCTATGTTAATATATTAGTAGTCCAATTCGACATTATCCATACATCGATTGTAATTCGATTTTAGAATTTTATAGGTTGAAAATGTCTGGATTTAATTATTATCTCATTTTATTTATAAAACCGTATCTATAATATATTATATTTAAATTTTTAGTATACAATTTTTAGATTCAAAGCTCAGTAGGGGAGTTATTGTTTACACTATGCTATTTATTTTTTCGTACGGTCTCTCGATTTCATTATTTTATAACAACGTGGACGACGTTTTCTACCAGAAAAAATTATTTAATCGAAAAATCATACGACAGATTTTGTGTTGTCTTTTTGATTAACTTTCTTACAGTACTATTGCCAAATCATTTGAGTCATTTGTGAGCTTTTAAGGAATTTTACTTTTTGGGAATTTGTTTTGCTGTTATTCGGTTATAAATATATGTAAAGACACGAAACTTGGTACTATTACTTACATTGGACTTACATTTCGCAAAACATGTTTTTGATAACAACNATGCTATTTATTTTTTCGTACGGTCTCTCAATATCATTATTTTATAAAAACGCGGACGACGTTTTCTACCAGAAAAAAATTATTTAATCGAAAATCATACGACAGATTTTGTGTTGTCATTTTGATTAACTTTCTTACAATACTATTGCCAAAACATTTGAGTCATTTGTGAGCTTTTAAGGAATTTTACTTTTTGGGAATTTGTTTTGCTGTTATTCGGTTATAAATATATATAAAGACACGAAACTTGGTACTATTACTTAAATTGGACTTACATTTCGCAAAACATGTTTTTGATAACAACCATAATATAGATTCGGATATTAATACAGACTTAGAAATAATAAATACCCAAATTAGCATTTACATTAATTCTGTTTCAGAAGAATTACACAGACACAATTAAATAATGAAAAATATTTTTAGTAATATTTATACTTTAAACTATACAAACTGATTTTTAAAAATAAAATCTTATATTAATAAATTTTAGATAATAAAAAATAACTAAATTTTTTANTAATTCTGTTTCAGAAGAATTACACATACACAATTAAATAATGAAAAATATTTTTAGTAATATTTATATTTTAAACTATACAAACTGATTTTAAAAATAAAATCTTATATTAATAAATTTTAAATAATAAAAAATAACTAAATTTTTTAAATTTCTTAACATATTTATGTCTGATAATAACTCATTTTAAATAATCTCTTCTAATAAAGTAAATAATTTCTAAGTGAAACGACCAATTTTTATATTTTTTTTCCGCCTGTACTCTAATTTGTTTTTTTTCATATTCAGTCGCGTTCTACTTTATGACTTTGTGACTTATCTGCTGGTGGATTTATAATTTAAAACCGGTTGTACAATACACATATATAATACTCCAGACGACGCATTCATTTATTTATTTCTATAAATAAATTATTTATTTGTAATACAATTTTTTCTAACCACGTTTTATTTTGTAATCTATAATCAATACAATAATTGTACAAGTTCATAAATAAAAATACACAATAGTTACAATAATATATTAAACGTTTTTTCAAAATCTGATATATTAAAAATAATATAAATTCCAAAAGATCCTGTGTGTTTTTTACTAGTGTACAATGTACACTTTACATTGTATACCGTATCGGCATTNCTTTATGACTTTGTGACTTATCTGCTGGTGGATTTATAATTTAAAACAGGCTGTACAATACACATATTATAATACCCCAGGCGACGCATTTATACATTTATTTCTACACATAAATTATTTATTTGTATCTACAATTTTTACTAACCACGGATTATTTTGTTATCATCAATCAATACAATAGTTTTACAAGTTCATTAATGAGAATACACAATAGGTACAATAATATATTAAACATTTTGACAAGAGCTTAAATATTAAAAATAACAATAAATACTATAAGATCCTGGTTTTTATTTACAAGTGTACAATGTAAATTATATACCAGATCGGAATAGTGAATATAAAAAAAAAATATTTTGAAAATTGTTATACCTTAAATTTAAAAAAAATTATTTTTTAACATAATACATTTTGAAGAAACGTTTAATCATAGAATGACCATGCCACGAATGATTTATACCCCGAATGTTGTACATTAATATTTAAACAAAGTCATAAATATTATTATTCAATTTTTTTTTTTTTAAACGTTTTGATTTAAAGAAATCTCACTTTTTATTTTCTTTCCAAGTTACCGCCATTTGATTTCTTCAATAATTTAACACCCAACCAAGGTATTACGTAAGTCCCTAGAATGACTTTTACAAACATGGAAATGACGGTTCCGATCATCGTTTCATATAACAAATTATATAATTGAGTAACTTCATTGGCTGGAGTTTGCATCTCAAAACACATCGCTATCGCAAAATATAACTGCAAGTAGAGATCACACAAAAGTAATACAACGAAAGTATTAATATAACTGTCAAATTATGTTAAATCAACATTTAAAAGGTCATAGATATTCCAGGTATAAAATAATAAAAGTACATTAAATCGTTAAATAATTATCATTAAGATTTTCAAAGCTGGAGAGACAGTATTTCTAATTTATTATCCTATTACATATTTTTTAATTGTACGGTTTAACATAAAAAAATGATTAAAATGACAACTACAAGCAATATATACAATACAGTATTTTAGTTCATACATTATTTTCAGACAGCAACATTACGAATTACGCCTCATATACAAGGTAATTCATTTAAATGGGTACACTCGATATTTCCGAGTTATTGAGTTTTTAATTTTTTTATATTTTTTTATTTTGACAATTTAAGAAACAAGCTGGTTTAAAATTTAAGGTTTTTAATTTTTTTTGTCACCCTAATTTTTAGGGGTGAAACAAACACCTATTTTTGATTTTCAAATGGCAGCCCATGTTAAAAATTCCATAAATAGATCGAGTATTAGTTAAAACAAATTTTGATGTTAAAATTTTAAATTTTAATTTATCCGCTAACGAAATATAGCTTCTTAAAGTTTCAATACTTATTGGATTTAAATTTGAAATATAAATTATGTTTTGTTATTATATTTGTATGTACTAAAAATAATTACATTTTAAAATTTGAATGTACCTATGTAAAGACAATGCTTTTCTTCAAATCTTTATTCATGCTCTTGGTTGTAGTCAACTTATAAACAGCTTTTGGTGTATTTATTAAACTTTTGGGTGACTTCCAAATATGCATTGTAAACACCGTTATATTAGGGAACTGTTTGTTTAATATTTCTTTTTTATTGTTACATAGCATATTTGTATATCTTTTTTCATCTATATCATTTAAATAATAACTACTAGATTCAAAATTGCATATTCTGCACATATCACCATTTTATATTAATAATATTATAAGTAACATAATTAATTTCCAATTTTTTAATAAGTGGTCCTAAATTAATATAATTATAAATATATTCAAACACAATAATTTAATATGTAACAGTAAATAAATATATTTCAATAAGTCATAACTGAATCACCTCATTTTATAATGGTTACGATTATTAAAAATATTAATACAATTTGATAAACCACCACTATAATTAGGCTATAGACATTAGTGAATACCATCATGCTAATAAATGTTAGTAGTAAATATAAACATTAATTTTTAAATAAACATATACTTAAGATATACAAGCTATATTTTACTTAAACTGGCATCCTCTAGTGACTTTTCCCATAAAGTAAAATCTAAATGTAGAACACCTAAATGCAATATGAATGCTCATTAAAACTTCACCATAATTTAAAAACCCGGGACAATGAAAAATCTTATTCAAATTAAATTAAAATATTATATCAAAATATTCGTTTTGCAGTAATGGAATATATGAGTTACGATTAACATGTATTCAAAAAATTAGAACAACTCAACATAAACCCAACAATAGTAGGTAGTCGTTTTACCCCTAGAAACTAGGATGATCAAAAATAAACTTAACGTCACGTTTAAAAGCAGCTTGGTTCTTAAATTTTCAAAAAAAAAATAAATATTTAAAAAAGTAAATACTGTCCGAGATATCGAGTTTACACACTTTAATGAATCACCTTGTATAGATGTCACACTTTTAATGAAGGTAAGCACTTATACATTGACCACGTTAGTTGATAATAAAGTTTAAATAAATATATTTACATAAACGATCATTTAACCACAATTCATGACCGTTCGCTCAAAGTCCAACATCTAATCGGATCGCTTAAATTTGTCATTGGACTTTTATGATGTCCAATCACAACCTTACGCGAAGGTACGTCTACAGAAAGGGTGGTGTGTTGCCGTACAGGTGTTTGGAGATCCCAGGTCATGACTGTCTTCGTTGCAATTATGAATGCTGTGATAAATAAGAAACCGTGGAAGATATGTTTAACATTTTTGTGTACGTAAACACCGTTGTTGTGTTTCGTTAATCAGACGAATATTTAAATAAGATCCAAATGTAAATACATACAGAATATATCCGGAATTTTAAGGATAATGATATATAGCCAATGTAAAAGAACTTAAAGAACTAAAAGAACCAGAATTTTTAGCGGCTAGGTTATGTTACAAACGGCTACGGTTATGTTAGCAATGGCTCATCCCACGTACAGGTGACTAGCCAAGTACGTTGCAAAATATGCTTGGTGTGAAAAATCGAGGGCTCAAATAAACCGAATGGGTAGAAAAAACTTGCTTCAAGTGGTAATATCCCACGCTTGAAGAATACCTTCGAAAAATCGAGGTGAGGTTCGTATCAGTAATAATTATCTTTAGTATGACAGGACAAACCAAGGACTGTCACCATCATCACCGGCAAAATGTTTACATTTAACCACCAGGATTTCGCCTTGAATGGCCTGTAATACCACTTCGGTATTGCTGGCCTACTTCCACAATTCAAAACCCGCGCCTGCAAGAACGGATGTTAATTCCGACTGAACACTTTGCGGCGTACCGCCCGCAGTGCCGGCACCGTAGTAAGTATCGTTCAAGTACGTTTGGTGGTGCAGCGCGTCAAACACCCACATGGAATTACATCAGTTATCATCTGCGATTTCTTGAAGGATTCCTATCATGAGGAACAGTGCACAATTCAATACGTACTTGAACACGTTAAATTCATCTTCGGAAACTTCTTTATGCGAGGATTGACACCATAAAACGTGTCGATAAGTGCCATATAACGGGAGGACAGTTTACTTATTATACCAGTAGTAAATGCGCGCCAAAAAAAATGAAAACGTGTGAGCACCTCTAAGGTGTGGTTTTAAAGTATAGAAATCGAAAATAATGATGCATTGAACGACGTACTGTCAGAAATTTGGACTTCCGTTTTAACCGTTTCGCCGAAAATGCCTGAAACTAACAGACTCGTAAATTTCAACGGTGTGAACTCTGGCTCTTCGATATGCCAAAAACGGTCAATCAATTGCTTCATGGACATGGGTAAAGTTAAACCGCGGTCGGTTGACAATTTATAACAGAATGCGACGTTGTTTAATCAATCAAGATCAAACTGAAATAAAACGCTGCTATTAATGATTTATCAACAACAACAAGAGGTCTCGTCCTTAACCAAAGAAAGCAGATCTGCCAATGCCAAGTTTTTAAACTTGTTTCGTATAGCCGCCTGCAATAAACTTCGCGGGAGACCTCCGGTTATAAAAGGCAGAATCCGAGACTCGAATGATAATGCTGGTTCGAAAGAAAGGCGTGAAAAAATGAGGCTCTCAACCCGCCTCCCGTATAATTACGACAGGAACCCCGGCCAGACCGGAAATATGGGCCGTCTAATTCGACCAACGAAAACCTATAGGTTTCGCACACGTTCATGAAATCACGTTGATTTATGATGCCGAATCCATGATGAGGTGAAAACTTCCGGCACAGTCATGAATTTGGACTAAAACCGTGCCAAGCAAGACGCGTGGCAGTCGGATGACCGAAACCAGACACCAATGATGTCATGATGTCCAATGATGAAGTCGTGAAAGGCAGATGAGTAACCGGCGGTGACAGTACGCTTCGTCGTCCTTGGTGTTCGAGTTCAAAAGGCTATGATGATGTGAGAAAACCGTACATTTGAAAGACACCTTGCCACGAATTTCCCAATATGCGGAACCGAGACAAAAGAAACAGATACACTGGATAGGAACCAATTAATGCCACCGTCGACGGGTATCAAACCAAATTTACGACATGCTTGTGTGAATTATAACAACACTATTACAACGGTATATTGATTAAGTGGCGCTTTTCTACCATTTCATGCCCTGCCCGGTCTAATGGATATTCGCTATCGTCGAATAAGGCGAGTGCGTTTTATCGTCTTCATTCCACTGCTCGTAATGTGGATGATGCTGGTCACCGTGAACCAACTTTTGCCGTGGCTTTTTCGTGCCGTTGTCGCGTGTTAACAACCCGAAAGTTATATAAGTTGTCCGGTCAACGGCTTAAGTTTATTAAAACATTACGAAAACCCTTCTCCGTTACTGTCTCCCATTAACGTTGAAATCACACGGATTGGTCCAATTGACGAGTATCGAATCTCTATCCGCTATACTTTTACACGTTAATGCTAATATAGATTAAGTGTCCCTTTAATTGTCGAATCTACGTCATTTCGACGTGCGTAAAAGGGACACTGTCATTTTGACGCTAGACATTTGAACGCATAGCACTGTTACGGAAGTCGACTCATTTCCCATATACATATAGTACGCAGTGGGACAAAAGGGTATTATTTAAGTATGGGCCACAACGATACTCGTAAGATCAAATTAAACGGTGATAGTTATCGGTCATCAAAGCTACATTATTCGGATGAAGACTGGTTGTATAGTTTCACCTCAGACACTGCCATTCTCGGGGCACCGAATTGGCAGGGGGACGATCTCCTGAGGCTCTGGTGCAATACAAACGGACTTGAACATAGAGACAATGGAGACAATGATGAAGTTGATAGACGACGATAATGTTGATGGACAACGACGGCAAAGAATAAAGACCATTAACAGATATCGACGATTATTGCTTGAACGTGGCGGCAATAAAATGCACATACCGTATTGTTTGCGTAATGTAAACGCACGGCAAGGGGCACTTATACGACCTCGAACGAGTCTCGACGTTAGAATCGGCACAACAGTAAGGGCCAACACGCGAACTGGCGCGCGAAGTGTCCACGTAAATCAGTGCATAAAGACATAACAAAACATGTTAGGTTCACGAAAACACATATAATAAAGTGTCAAACTGATGAAAATTAAAATCGAATTTTTCTCTACATTTGTTTAAACCTAACACAAAATCTGATTCAAAAAAATTAAATTATTAGTATTTGGATAACCCTGTAGGACACTCTGTATACAATTAAAATATGTTCATAGACAATTTGACGGCCTGTAATAAACACTATGCTCTACAAGTTCTTTATTATTGCTTTTTTTTTTTAAATAAATCCAAATAATAATAAAACTATTCTATTTGGACTTTTTTTACCTCCTTTTAACAAACTGGTAATGATTGGTTCATCATGATCAAATTTATCACAAACTAAACTCTTACGGTAATATACGGATTGAGAAGAGGATACGGAAGTAATAATTCTAATGTTTATACATAAGTACAACCCTATGCTTAAACCTGGATCTCGGTGTTCAGCAGTCACCCACAACACCAAAGATTAACTGACATTTATTTACTGTAGGTCCATAGACTATCCATTAGCCGGAAATTTGTATTTATATTAGTGGACAAATAATTATGTTAAACAGTATCAATTTAATATTATTCCAAATTGATTACGTTACCATCATATTCGAGTTAATAAGCCATGCTATATTGATGAACACTATTTCTTTAACATTGAATCCTGCACCCAAAACTGAACAAGTTGTAGCTATTATTCGAATCTGAAATTCACAAAAAATTAATTTTACACAAAACACATAATACAAAATAAAATATATTCAGTGATATTATAAAAAATACCAAGTGAAGTAAAACTATCAATCCAATAATTACCAAATGAATATTACGTATTGTTAAACAACTTTTATGAGGATAATTTATGCTATACAAAAGCAGAATAAATTTTATGAATATCATACAAAAGTCCCTTTTCTCATTGGTTTCTCATTATTATTCCGTATGTTATTTGTATTTATTGCAATACAATTTTTTTTTCTTTTATGTATTATAAAATACTTATATTTTACCTCTGTATATACAAAAATGAAACTGGAAATATTTCTTATGAGTTGGCTTCAAATCTACTTATTTAATCATCACACAGTTCTTTTTAAATTATAGAGTATATCACAAAGCAGGTTTAAGTCATACATTTTTAAATGAAACTTGAAATTGATGATACAGAGGATGAAAGGTATTTGGTGAATATTTGGTACGAAAATTTAATTATTTTTGTGGAATTGTGAATTACAATAGCAATAAGGATGAAATGAAACTAAAAAAGAACGGACATAATTCACATTTAGTTGATTTCTAAACAAGTTTTTTGAGAGTATATTGCAATATTCGATGTAACTGCGTTACATTTTTTATATTTTTCGTTTGATGTATACTGTTAAAGGAAAAATAAATGTCAATTTACAAAAATTAAACTAAAATATCCAAAATAGACCATAAGATAAAAAAAAAAAAATACATTTTTAGAAACCATAGGATTTTTACGGAATTTTAGTTATAACTATCGAAATAAATAAAATATGAGATATTATGGTTTGAGTGATATTTGATGGTATAAAAAGGAACTGATAACTACATTAGGCACTATAACGAATTTGTCTTTTTTACATTTTTATTTGATTCTTTTGTCTATGAAAACTATTTTAGAGTATATGCAGTATGCCCGTGATTTTTCAGCAAAATGTTGAAAGTATACGGCTTATATGTATTATGTAATATGTAGTTTAGCCTATGGGAGCATCACTGTACGAGCGTAAGTGCACTCACTGTTGTAGGAGGAAAGTTGGGAAGGTTTGATACAGACGGGAACTTAATGTAAGCTGTAAGCAACGATACAAAATTTCAAACGAAAAAACGATTCGGAACGTAGTTCAGTTGATAGTGTTGCTTTGTCAACAGAAAAACATGTAGTATATGTCATATTATGGTAAAATGATTATAACAATGTGCGTTCCCGTGACAACAATGTTTGTTGAAAAAAAATTTAAATAATAAATAACAATAACAAAAAATAGAAAAAAATAGTTTTCAATGACAACCTTATTTATATTAATCTTTCAATAATTTTTAACCTAAACAAGCAGGTTTTCTTCATTATCTTGAATATTAATGAGAATTTAAAAAAGTGACCTCACTAAAGTACCATTTAGTGAACATTTCCTTTCAAAAAAAGTGCTTTAAATGATAATCTGAGTATGCTTTTTGGTAGAAGAAGTATTCACATACAAATAAAAAATAAATATTGTTAAATTAATACATTCCTCGCACCACTTAGAATCTACAATAAATAATAAACAAAAATAAAATTGCCATAACAAATATAATAACCCTAAAAAATACAGTCTATCTGACTTTCTCTCTGTTTATTGTTGGCTTGATTTAAGATATTTTGGCATTAATAAAAAATAAACCACATACAACTATGCGCTGTACTGGGGGAGTAGGTGAAAAGTGAAAGAATGTAAATCGTCATCGTGGAATCTTTGTATTTTTGGTACAGTAACAACACTATAGTACCATTACTTCCTCATATTTTTAGGGTAACTTTAGTAGAGGAGAAGTTCAATGTATAATTGTAAGCTAACGTCAAAATGATTCCGAGTGGAGTTCAAATTATAGTGTTGCTATATCAACAATGTATATGCCATGTTATAGTAAATAATTATATTGGTATTGGTATTTTTTGTTGAAAATTAATCTAGACGACTTGAGCCATCACTAATGTGGCTTAATCTAGACGACTTGAGCCATCACTAATGTGGCTACACGTAAAAATCGGAGCAAATTTACTAGGAATAAACGTTTCCACAGACTAAAAAAAAGAAAGAAAGAAATGATTTTTTAAAAATACTATCTTATACCATTATTAATTTATTTCATGTGAATTATGTCCATACCTTTTTTTTTATCGGTGAAATAAAGTCGAACATCGAATTATATGTAAAATTGTCTAATAGTCATTACTTTGTTAACAACTATAAATATATTAAGCAATTGTTTTTCTCTCAATATAGCTTGTTATCCAAATTATTTATTTCCCTAAATTTTTCAAATTTTGAATCTCTATTCATGCTTACTTTTATTTGTTATTCTTTCATTAAATATTCTAATACTATAGGTACCTAATATAATTGCCATTAATGTATACATTTTTTTTTCATTTCAATAACAAATAATACTTACACTAAAAGCAATAAAAAGATTTCTTAGTGTTACAGACAAAATTCTTCCAGTAAAGTGATCAGCCAATACAAAATGCATGAATAAATATCCATAGTACCAGCCAAATAATCCAAATATTATAGGGATTAGAAGGGTAAAGATGTACTCGAAAACTTTTGTAAGTGAACTAATTTGGTCATATATAATATCATGGTTGACACTATTTGATATTGATTCATTTTTAATTATTTCTCTTCTACTCCTCCGTTTCCAACCGAAACATGCCACCAAAGCTGTTACGGCACATCCTAAAGACCATGTAATTGGAAAGTCTGAACTGCATTTGTATAATCCAATTAAAAATCCTTCGATTAAAAATAATATAAATCGTATAACTGATATCTGTAAATCAACATTTTAGAAAATAATAATAATATAATGTAAATTTATATTAATTAATAATTACATATATATCTTTTTGTTAGGGTTGTACTATGGATTTGTGGTGAATTCTAATACATTTTGTGAGTAACATTTACTGTTTATTAGGAAACGGTTTTCATTTTCAGAGCACTAGGTGCAACCTACTTCCAATTTAAATTCAGTAGATAGTATATTATAAAAAAATCCAAAAAAATTAATATTTAATCAGAGGCGTATTTAACTCGTCCAACACGTCCAGTCTTTGTTTGTTGTATTTATTACTAATAATAACAACTAAATCATGACCCCAGTCTGATGTCGCAGGTTCTTCACTTATAAATACAACATGTCAACTGTGTTTTTTTCAAATTATATAAAAAACCATTTGTAGACCTAACACACGTGTACATCTTTCCATCAAAAGGCTGTGTCCAAACGGCCCGTAACAATTGAATAAACCACGTATTATCAATAGATCAAACAAAGTATATAATTGGACACAAAAATAACTTTATAATATACATAAATAATAGTATAATATGAGGACGTGTGATTCCACAGGCCAACGGCCGCACAGCAAAATAAACAGGTTAAAAATGCAGTGCTACAAAAAGCATATGAGCGAGCACAAAATACGGAATAGGTAGGTATTTTTTGTACACTAGTTAAATATAATAATAATAATAAATAATACACAGACAATCGCCTTGTCGGGTTTGCCAATGGTTATCTAGATTCGGCGGCCGACTGACGCGGCTCGCGTAGTGGACCACCGCTTCGACTCCGGCGACACCACCGACATTGCACAACCCAAACACAGGCCGACGAAGACAACTTACGTGAATTTAAACTCCGAACTAAACGAAAAGCACAAAACGGAACTTATATCCTCCTTCACAGATTCCCTGTTGTTTCATCGATGGTGAGCCCACATATTTTCCTCCGTACTGTGTCCTCGGGTTGCTCTCTATTTGATTGGTAGTAGTCCAAGCATCACAGCCATACACGAGAGTCGTTCTTATAATAGCCAAATACAGTTTTAATTTTGTTTTCCTAGACAATATTTTAGATATTCGGAACATTTTCAGTAAGTAGAAAGATTTTTGGGCTTTGTTTATCCGAATATTTGTTTTCTTGGACCAGTCATTCTTTGTGCTTAACTTTGCCCCCAGATATTTAAAATCGCCAAGTTTTTCGTATGTCCTCCATCTCGTTGGGGTCCTTCTCATTCTTAATAAGTTTCAATTATCTTTGTCTTCTCAGTATATATTTCAAGACCTATTCTCTTCGCTGCTTCTTCTAGCAATCTGGCCGCGTTAGCTGTGTCTGCTAGCAAGTCACCTATAATATTCATATCATCAGCATACCCGAGGAGCCGAATCTTGTTCTGACCGATTAGTAGACCACCTTCATTTTCTTATAGTTTCCTTACTACCTTCTCTAGTGCAAGATTCATAAGTAATGGGGACAGAACGCCCCCCTGCTTTAGCCTGCTTCCCACTGTAAAAGTTCCTTGTGTTAAATTTTGTATTCTTACTCTGTTGTTTGTGTTTTCCGTAGATATTTTAGTTAGTATTATTAATTTTTTTGGAAAATCTAGCTCGTATATGATATTTTATAGAATCTATCTGTAGATACTATCATAGGCCTTTTTGAAATCTACGAAAAATTGCCACACATTCTATCGGTACTCGTACATTTTTATATTATTTAACCTATTCTGGATAATTTTTCTGTAGTTGAACGACCTTTTCGGAAGCCGCATTGGCAATCACCTAAGCAATCCTCCACATAAGGAACAATGCAATTTAGTAGTACTCTAGAGACGACGTTGTACGCAGATTTTAAAAGCGATATCCCTCTACAATTTTCACATTTTGTCTTTCTCCCTTTTTTGTGAAGTAGTATGAAGACTGTCTCGTTCCAGCATTACAGTACCCGTTCTTCAGGCCATATAAGCTGACACATTCTGTGCAATACTATGTATAGCTCCTCACCTCTGTATATTATGAGTTCTGCTGATATGTCATCGGCACCAGACGCTTTCCAATTTTTTTAGCCAGACATTGCCATCTTCACTTCTTCCAGACTAACATCCTCTACGTGTGGAGCCGCTAGTTCATATCCGAAATACTATAATGGATGAGCTAACATCATACCATTTAGTACATCTAGATGTACCCCTATAACTAATTCCTTGTTCATCAATGACCTCTACTGAAGAAATATCAATACTTCGATGCACGTCATTAGTGTCAATATAATATCACGATTTTACTTGATATAACAACAATCAAACGATCATCAGTTATTATTAGAACTGTGGTTAATGGTTATAGCCAGCTAGGTAATGAAAAGAATATAGATGTTTTACGATACGAAAAGATTTCAATTATATTTACTACCAATTGTAGTTTAGGTTTGCAAATTTTTGCTAATCAGCTGCAAAATCATGGTGTAAACAAATTAAAAAATTTAAATGATGGTGTTGGGAATATGCAAATCTCCAGGTCTTTGTCGCCCAGTCAGTTCATTCGTTGTGTGTCCATGGGTGTAACGTGTGAGTACTTGTGATCAGTTGCGACCGAATAATCCAACGACCTAGTGAATCGTTCTGTGAGCCAACACACAAAACACCTGCATGTCCATGGATTCTAAACCATTTTTTCTTTTGTATACAACATACGTTGCCGTAACGAACATGCCTCTTGGTCGCCAAATGTACGTTATAACCGCGTGTATCTGCTAACCATGTTCTCTTTGGCCGTTTCCCGCGCTTTCGTCGTAATCATTCCGCTGCTACTTAATAGGTATAGAGGCTGCCACGGACGTTTCCACTGTTTATAGAAGTTTCCGCCCGGGCCTTTAATGATGGGTGCACCGATCCACTAACACGTTGCAGTAACGATTGAGTTAAATTAAGAAATTAGGCAAATAATGTAAATAATTTTTCATAGAAGATAAGCAGCAGATTACGAAAACCATAAATATAAATCAAATAACATTCATAAATTAATAAAAAAGTAGTATGATCTTCGAATTTGAAACTAAATTAAACAATCTATACCAGGGTGATCATTTTTTATAAAAAAAAGTAGGTTTTAAATAATTTAATTGATTTACTTGTCGATTTTTGGCTTCGTGATTTTCATTTAGTTCTTTTTCTCGTCTAATATAAGTATTTTTCCATATCGTGTTTGGTACAAAAATCATTAAAAATCCATACAATATTCCAAATATGATTTCGATCATTACATCTTTTATGAATACGAAAAATATTTCAAATTTAACATCATCTAATCATAAATAAAAAACTTGTAATATTAAAAATTTCAATTCATATTATGTAATTTTACATACAAAACATATATCTCTCCATAATATAGATACATTATTATTATTTTTTACTAATTTTGTTTTTCAGAGAAGTAATTACTTCAAACGATAAATATTTAAAGAGTAAAAAATTTTATAACGTATACAAATTTTAAAACACATTTACAAGCGTTTAAGATAATAGAAAAGTACATTTATGTTCCGCATATAAGTACGTAATGTTTAAGCTGAACAGACTAATAACGTCTAAACAAGACTGATGTTGTAGTCTTGTTGACAATATCCTTCACAAGAGTATAAAATATATATTGAACAGGTGATTCTGTCATTAAATTAATTAAAATTATAAATGCAACGTTATATACAAGAATATAACAACCAGGATGCCTTCACATATTTGTTCTTACTCAACAATAGACATCAGATATTAATGGGTTAAAGTGCAACCCGTCAGGGGTAATACACATGCGAGGAGCTTTAATCAATAAAAACTATCTGGCAATAAGAACAGCTAAATTCGTTTGCGTACGGCAGACTTTAGATTCAGGTCTTGCCCGAGAATAATCATATTTATTAGGTTTATACTCTCCCCCCAATTAACTTTATTACCATTCATTACTAGATAATACAGAATAAAAATTAATTATAAAACACTGTCTTTTGATTAGTTTTCATAATCATATCAAACAGCTGATTAAATAATAAATATTTTACACTCCACAGATATAAAAGCAAACGATTATATTGTAATCTTCAAGGGATAATCATAGCATATAAATAAATAACATGGATAATAATAATCAACCCCGTATAAATGGTAACACAATCGTAAAAAATAAAAACGAAAATGACAATGGTGTCGAAATATATTAATTAAATTTTTATTAAGAAAAAAAACGTGATGGCAAATTTAAAAAATATAAAAACCCGTACATACTGTTGTCATATGTCAGCATCATAGGAAAAAGTAATGTTTTTATAACATTTTCGGTACGGTCTAGGCACACCCGGCATAACCTTAGTGCTTGCCCAGGATTAAAATTTTATAAAAAAGTATCCGGTTCTAAAAATTTGAGGAGTTATAATTATGGTATAGTAACGTTCAAAAATAAATATAAGCCCACACATTAAAAAGTACGAATTTTAACATAAAAAGTCAATAAAGAAATTAATTACGAAATTGTTCCCTCATTTAAAAAAAAATCTTGAATTTTTTTATCTAACTATAAAGAAAACTAAACACCTTGATTTTTTCTTATTAGAAACGTGTACCTTGACCACATCCACAAAATACTAAAATGAAAATTCTATAATATTTTAAATCTCCAATAATATTTTTCACAAAATAACAACACAATTTAAATTCACAGAAACTTTTTAAATATATAATTACTTCCGACCTACAAATCTATTATCCATGATAGACTATTATAAAAGTGTTATAGTTTTCGAATTTCAAACTAAAAATTAAACAATCTATTCTGGAGTGACCATTTTTTTTATAAAAAAAGGTAAGTTTTAAATGATTTAATTGATTTACTTGTCGATTTTTAGCTCCATGATTATTATTTAGTTCATTTTTTTGTCTATCATATGCGTTGTTCCATATTGGGTTTGGTACAAATATCATTAAAATTCCATAAAATATTCCAAATATTACCTCAATCATTAAGTCCTTAATGAATACGAATAATAATTCAAATTCAATATCATCTAAATAAAAAATAAAATATAGAATTATTCAATATTTAAATTCATATTATATAATTTTACAAGTACACAAACCATATATCTGTCCATAATATGGATACATTATTATTATATTCACTAATTTTGTCTTTCAAAGGAGTAATTACTTCGGACGATAAATATTTATATAGTAAAAACGTTTATAACTTTTACAAATGTTAAAAAACATTTTCGAGAGTATGAGATAATAGAAAACTATATTTATATTCCGCACGTAAGTACATAATTTATGAGCTAGAAGGACTAATAACGTCTAAACAAGGCTGATGTTGTAGTCTTGTTGACAATACCCTTCACACTAGTAAAATATATATTCTGAAAAGGTGATTCTGTATTAAGTAAATTAAAATTATGAATGTGCCAACTAAACACAAGATCATAATGACCAGCGGACATCAGATATTAATGGGCTAACGTGCAACCCGCCCAGGATAATAAGCTTATGAGCAGCTGTAATCAGTAAAAATNTTGCGGACGGCAGACTTTAGGTTCGGGTCTTGCCAGAAAATAATCAATTTATTAGGTTTATACTCCCCCCCAATTAACTTTATTACTTTTCATTACTAGATAATACAACATAATAATTAATTATATACACTGTCTTTTGATTAGTTTTCATAAAAATATCAAACACCTGATTAAATAATAAATATTTTAAACTCAAGAGATGTAGAAGTAAACGATTTTATTGTAACCTTCAATGGATAATCATATCATATAAATAAATTACATGGATAATAATAATCAACCCCGTATGTTTGTTAACACAATCGTAAATAATAATAACGAAAATGGCCATGATGTCAAAATATATTAATTAAATTTTTATTAAGGAAAAAAAACGTGATGGCAAATTTACAAAATATAAAAACATGTACTAATATTTTATAAAAAGGTCTCCAGTTTTAAAAATTTTGAGGAGTTATAATTAAATTGTAGTGACGTTCAAAAAGTAATATAAGCCCACACATTAAAAAGTACGAATTTTAACATAAAAAGTCAATATAGAAATTAATTACAAAATTGTTCCCTCATTTATATAAAATATTGAATGTTTTTATGTAACTTTAAAGAAAACCAAACACCTTGTTTTTTTCTTATTAGAAACGTGTACCTTGACCACAGCTACAAAATACTAAAATGAAAATTCTATAATATATTAAATCTCTAATAATATTTTTCACAAAAAATCACAACACAATTTATATTCACAGAAACTTTTTAAATATATAATTACTTCCGACCTCAGATAATCAAAAAGGAAACTACAATGACAAAGTAATATTATCCCTCCAAATTATTAACAAGACTGAAAAAAACAAACCATAGTAAAATCAATAAATTTCTCGTTATGCTCTGGATTTTAAATAAAAGTAAGCCATTATCGTATACTCAAGGTTCTCCTTTAAACGTATACAGTTAAAAATCATTAAGCGAATCGCGATAACTTCAGTATTTGGCATTGCTGAGCGGACGGCCATAGAAAAGTTAATCCTTGTACGCCACAGCGTACTAAAATTAAATACCTACACTAAATTTTGATTCCATAGCTAATTGGCAACAATAACGAGTATAGAATTGAGATAAAGCCCAATTAAGTTTTGTTACCTTTTAAATAACAACAATAGCTTCTCACTGGCACTCTCACTGAGATATACTCCAGAATAAAATAAAGGTATGTAAAGAAATGAATTTCCTTCAAGCAAATGATAATTTTAAGCATAATAATATAATAATTAAACATAAAATACAGTAAAAAGGAAGTGAAGGAAAAAACAATAAGTTTTTCACGACTACTTAAAAATGTCGATTTTATTCAGGGCATCAGTGAAAAGAATTTCCTTCCGAATAAAATGTCTTCACTCGACAATCAAACATATGTATTTCCACAATGCTGGTGGAAAAGCAATGACCCAAATTTGTTGTTCTCATTGGTTTAAGTAGTCGCGACAAGACGTATAACTAACGTTCCATATTAAAAAGTTTTATTACTACATATAAAACTAAAACTATAATATACATATATACCTAACATATAAATAATATTTAATGTAAAAAAAATTTCTGCTGAATGGTCTGATCATTTATTTTATAATATTTTAACTTAATATTGTTCGTGACCGTGACGAACGCCTATAACAATATTATGGTCGTGGGAAGAATACTATATCGATAAAACAAAATTGTATTATTTGAATATTAATTTCTACTTAAAATGATCCTCCTATCAAATTTTTAAGCATTTCTTTTAAGTCTATAAATTTATCATCAGAGTACCAACCAAATAAAAGTTTTTTAAAAATTCTCAAAATTACAATATTTATAAACAGCATAAAATTTCCCCAATGTTCTAAACGTTTTACCATATATANGACCATTTATTTTATAATATTTTAACTTAATATTGTTCGTGACCGTGACGAACGCCTATAACAATATTATAGTCGTGGGAAGAATACTATCTCGATAAAACAAAATTGTATTATTAGAATATTAATTTCTACTTAAAATGATCCTCCTTTCAAATTTGTAAGCATTTCTTTTAAGTCTATCAATTTATCATCAGAGTACTAACCAAATAAAAGTTTTTTAAAAATTCTCAAAATTACAATATTTATAAACAGCATAAACTTTCCCCAATGTTCTAAACGTTTTACCATATATAAAACAAAGAAATACAATCAATCTGTCTAAATTATTGGTCTTTATAAATATTTTTAACTGTATTACACTAAAAAAACAAAGGATAAAATAAGGTATCGAAAAAGAAGAATAAAACCTCTTTTCTTGCAGGATTCTATAACTCCTGCCCTAGTAAGTGACTTATAAATAATTTTATGTATAACTAGAAGGATAAAACTTTGCAGGCGAAAAAACGATTCTGAGTGGAGTTCAGTTGATTGGATGCTTTGTCAACAATATATATATTTATATATACTTTTTTTTTTTTAAATAATTAAATAGGCCTAATATATTTTCTATAATAATTTTTATTTAATGTTTCACCGACTTTGTAAGTTTTCCTAGGTTTTTCCAGGTTTTACCATGTTTAATCCAGATTATTACATTTGCTGGGAAAACAATTGAAAAAATCAATAACTGACTTATCTAATGTACCTTCTTAATAGAATTTCGTTTTTGAAACATTGCTATCATTAAGTAATGGAGCGAAATCCCTAGTTGGAAAGTAGTGCACGGAAAAAAAGAAAGCCGTAATATATTTTAACTAACACCAACAATTCACATATTTCCCCGGATTTTCTCGATTGTATAAATTTTATGAGAAACCTCTTTATGAAAAGGAATGAAGAAAAATCAGTATCCTAAAGTTTAAAGCGACATTGATTTTCTTTTAGAAAATTTGCTACTCGAAGAAATCTGATCAAGTATTCTGGTGGAAAAATTGCGTTAAGATAAAAGAAAAAAAACAAACATCTTTTTAAAAATATAAGGTTCATCACTCCAATCAGAATCTAAAATGACTGACTCCATCATAGCAAAATATTAGAAGGAACAGAATCGATGATATTTCATTTTTAGATTGGAGCGATATTTTTGTAAATCAAACATCGTGCTAACATAAAAACAAAACGATGAAAACAGTAGCGCCACGGCATGCTGGAAATATTTGGCTTTTAAATATAATTTTTTTTCATGTATTCCACGACTATTTCGAAGTTTTCTGGTAGAAAAGTTGTTTACAGAAAAAAAAAAACATTTAAGTAAAATCAATAGATACCTCGCTAGGCTCTGAATCTAAAATTGCATAATATCGATGTGGATAGTATTAAAAATACGAAACGTGAAACGTTTTTTTGAATAAATTGATAATCATAGTAAGAAAATGAAATGTTTAGTTTTAAAGAAGTAATTTATATAAGTAATCCTTAATAAAAAAAAATTAATTATTATAGAGATTTTTCACTTACTTATCCCATAAAAGTTCTTTTTATTTGATTCAATTTGCGCAAGATATATCAATAAACCATCCATAATGCAAGTCACCACTTCCATTAAATTTAATGCAGCAATCAAAAGGGAAATCGTGTCATTTTCCTCACTGAGAACTTTACGTTGTAATCGAAATAAATTAGGCAATAAAGTGACATGGCTAATTATTGTCCAATAAAATCTAGAAATGTGTTNGCCTTTGCTATACCCGATAGGTGGCCGCCGTACAATAAGCTATACTTTTACATGGTCGCCCGAATTGTCCACCTCTTCGTCGACATACCCCCACCATCGCCAACACCATCACATAGCTACCACCGCAACCACCACCATACCCGTTATTACTCTTATCAGAGATTTGTAACAGAGTTATACCGATCGTTATCATATGTATCTTATCTCGTTATTATTGTTTGATGCCACAGTTCTACTTATCAATATCACTATTATCACAATCTATTACTATAGTTATCACATTTCTCTTACCTCGTTATCACAAATTATAACAATTATTAACACGCTGTGAAAACATGGTTATATTTACCCTTATAACAGTTATGCCTACCATTATCATGGTATTATACACAGTTTTACTTACCGTTTAACCCATGTTAAACCATGTTTAATATATGTTGTACCTATTTAAATTTAAAAACATATGTAACTTTTTTCTTTTATTTCAGAAAAAAATGTTGGAGGAGGGCGATTATAAGGATGACGACAATCTGCTTATAGAATTACGTATGGTTTTCGATATGGATTTATGTGAAGGGAGGATTTCATTTTATTATTATACCTCACTACACAGGAAGTAGTTTTAATTTATGTTTATTTGGTTGATATGAAACGTCAATTCCGTCGAGAATAGGGCATTCTAGAAATTAGCCAGACAAATATATTTCGATGGTGAAATAGAAGATATCTTAGAAGAAAAACTTGTTTTTTATTATCCGAACATGATATTTATCAAGGACGGGGTGGATTTTTTTAACTGCAGCGTATCAATAGTCTGTTATTAGGTAGATAAAATCATACAAAATAAAAAAACTGTAATCAACCCACGAGATACCGATGAAAAATGTTTTGGTGTGCAACATGGCAAAGCATGTAACGAGCGAACACAGATAAAGAGTAAATGAAAAATACGTGGAACACTATGTTACATACAAATCAATTACCGTCCGTAATCGCGCAGCGATGGTTATCATCGACTCTTTTCTCCGCGCAGTTTTTCCTTGGGCACGGTGCTTTTTAAGCTTACCCACACAGATTCGAAATAATTTACATAGTGGTGTGTGAATGTGACGAGTCTCTCACGGAGAACCCGTGACAATATCTTTTATACTGCCTACCGCACGCCGAGCATCGATCGGAACATACTGAGGCACTGTGCGCCTCGGAGTTCCGAGGGCTATTTAATGCCGTCGACTTGTTGGCATTTTCTTGGTCTCGGCTGGAGAATGTTTCGCGCGGGCTTTTTTCCCCCAGTGGGAACGTCATTGATACGTGCACAGTATAGAAGACAAGTTTAAGGAACGCTTGCCCTCGACACCAAATTATTGACGCAGCACAGCCCTTCCAGGATGCGTATGCCTGCTAAATGTCAGTTGCATAGCCGGGACATTAAATGAAGTTAAAGCATCTTTGAACCTCAATACGTCTTTCCTATAAGAAAGCACCCAACGTCGAATGCGGGTGGTTAATAATCCAGAAACCGATGTGGGTAATCACTCGTTGAATTGTTTGGTGTGGCAGGCACTTAAACTTACGCGTTATGCCTTTCGGAACGGGGGTGAAACTCGAATTCTCGGGTAAGTATAAGTTAAAAATGTGCCCTAGTTTACCTTTTGACTCTTTGAGTAAATGTGCAGAGACCGACTGTTTGGGTTACAGGTCAGTCGTCTATGTGTATACATTGGGATAGTAGAGAGAAAATTAAAAATCAAAAACCGAATGAATAACAATACTCTATTTCCTCAAATTTATAGCGGTAAACATCCATGCAATGAAATATAAACAATAATATTAATAAACATTATATCAGTCATGACCACGAAAATTCAATTGATTAAACATTTTTAATTATCGAAATTAATTTAAATAAATCATAAATATATATAAAAATATGAAAATAAAGAATATTAAATAGTATGAAATATTCTTCACTTGGAGTAATTAAATAAGACGGAAATACGACCGGTTTCGAACTAAAATTTCAGTCAAAATGTAAAACGTGACTGAATATAAACATAAAATAAAGGAAAACACAGAAAAAACAGAATTATACAAATTGTTCGTTTTCTGAACGAAAATTTCACTATCAAGATTATTTTTAAGAAATCATATACTTGATTTTATCGAGAATTTTCTCAGCAAATGTAAAAAACTGAGATTATACATAATATAACTGGAGAAATCGGTACATTATTAAACAAATAGTATTAAAAAGTTATACCCTAAAATGTATACATTAAATTAGCTATATTAGTGGCTGCGCCCGTTTCTATTATCCTTAGATGCCTTTTTAAAATTTAAAACCTCATTATGTTCAATAATAATAAATTTAACTACTCAAAGATATTTTTAAAGCCTGGCGCCTTTGGGTAAAATAAATAAGACTGTTGTTTGTCATACTCACATGTGGTAATTTTAGTGATAACCATTACAATCACAGAACGCATTACAGATTACAGATTACATTACTTATAATTGTTATAATTTATACATTCAGAATGTTAGAACCTGAGAACATTCGTTTNTTCACATAAACCAGGTATCCCACGATGGCCCAATCTATATTTTAATTTCATGTTTTTGAAAACATTTTTGATTCTGAGTGAAAAAGATTTTTTTTTATTCTGTGGTCCGATTTTTATGTGTAGTACCTTTTGTGAAAGATCATTTTTAAATTTTCCGAAGAATTATCTCAGCAAATTTAAAGATACTGAGAAAAAATATTGGAAATCTGGGGAAATTGATACACCATTAAACAAATAATATTAAAAAAAATATAAAGTACCTAGTTAATTATTTTACTATAATGTGACACATGAATTGTTGAAAAAGCAAAAAAGCATCAATACAAAATAAACTTTTAAAAGACATTTTAAAAGCCCTGTGTTTATGGTTATAGGAAATATGAATGTTGTTACCATACTCATATGTGTTAAACTTAATGATAACTATGTGAAATCAAAGACCTCATAACAGATCACAGATCACATTAATTATTAATGCTATAATTTATACATTCAGAATGTTAGAACCTGAGAACATTCGTTTGGGGGTCCTAATAGTCTTAATCAAAATAAAATACCTTTATGTTTTAATGTAGTCAAATAACATATCAAATTAGTTTATTTCGGTATATAAGTTAAAAATGTAATAGATTAATTGCAAAATTACAATAAAATATGCTACAAAAACTTACCCGCCGTAAGGTAAATGATCAATAATAATGATATCTATGTTGAAATTATCTGATTTTAAAGCCCAGAGCAAGATGAGTGATTCGACTGTGAGTGGCAATAAAATTAGTCTTGTCAGTGCACCGCGAATACGTTGTAACTCCAAATATTGTATTTCAAATACGCCACTTGTCATAATTGTAAATGTGGTTACCTCGCTATGACAAAAAAAATAAAAAATATTACAACACAAATTTAACAAAAGCTGTCTTAAGATAATGGAAACGTGTGCAGCCACTGTTATAGGTAATACAATATGAATCGCTAGGCTAAGATTAACCACTGCTAACAAAAAAACGATTTTGAGCAGAGTTCAGTTGATATTGTTGCTTTTTCATCAATATACACTAAACATATAATTCATATCATAGTAATATAATTTCATGTGCATTACCTACATATTTTCNACCTCGCTATAACAAAAAAAATAAAAAAATATTACAACAATGATGATAATCAATTATAATAATTTTCACAAAAAAAACCTATATTATGGGTATTAAAATTGCGATGCAATATTCCTAAAAAGTTAATGTTTAAACGTTTTAAGGATGTTATATGTTAATAATATAGTAACAAAAATATAAAACCTCCTCAAGTGGTTTGAGTAATATTTCAATGTGGTATTTCGTACCAATCAAAAAGCATACATATAGCTTAGATGTTAGACAATAAAAAATGATTAGTGGGTACCGAATAAAAAATATGTTAAACATTTAAATGTCTATTAATAGCTCAAAATTGGCTAAAATGTTTTAAAGTATTACCATGTCTATTAAAAACAAATATAAGATTTCTGTCCGAATTTCAAGTCTCTCAGAAAATATTTACATGAATTAAAACAAAAAAAAAAAATAAAAAATTATGAATAGTAAAAATATTATTTTCATAAAATTGCCCGTTTTTTCCTATTGCTATTAAAACCAAATGGAAATCCATCGTAAAACTATTGTATTAGTCACTTTGCACTGAATAGGAAAAAAAATGTTTGATAAACTTACCAAATAATGAACACAAAATATGTGAATTCCGGCCATCGTTTATTAGCTGACTTATTGTATATATCATTTAAACATATAGAATATAGACAACTTGCTAATATAATGCCCATTAATGGTGGAAGGTAGTTGGTTAATTTTATCACTCTCCCGACAGCCGTACTGATCACATATAATATTATGAAGTAGATGTAATCAATCGCGGCTAATATAATTGTATATTTAGAATAGTCTGTAGAATAGTTTGGTAATAACTTAATAAACAAATATATTAGCCACCATGTGATCGACATCAGTACGATTCCGGCCATTGTTTCTGCTACGGTGTTTTTCAATATTAATAGTTGTTTGTGCCAATTTAACATAAACAAAATACTGTCGTTCAAATATAATTCAACGGCTCGTGGATATTTATCTACACGTTCTGAATTTTTTACAATATCGCATTCAATAATATCATCTGATCGTAATCCTATTAAATTAAATTATAAACAAAACGATTATTTAAAATATCTAATTTAGTATCGATAAACATTATTAACCTAATAATTAGTATAATATAAGTTAACATAGGTAATACCTAAGGCTCGGGATACTTTGTGTAAACAAATATTCAATAAATATGTACCTATTCAAAATTGTTTAAATATCCAGTTAACCATTCAATTTGCTAACTACATAATTGAAAATTCAATATGATTGGAGATTTTCTTTAAAAATTTTAAATTAAATTCTTTAACACCTGAAAAGTTGCATATATAGACAGAGTGTTAGTTAAAATAAATGTTGGTGTTGAAATTGTTGATTTTTGTCTATTTATTGACGATATATTATACTCTTCAGTGTCATAACACAAAAATAAATAACTTTTAACGTACCAAAAAAGTAAGTGTAGTTATAAAGGCATCATAACGTTGTAGAGAAGTAAGAGATTTTTGAGAGGGAAAGAGTGTATAGAAATTATAATTCTGTTATGACCTTCCTCTTGATGTTAGGAAGGATTCAGAGTCTTTACACGGTGTTGACAGTTATCTAGGTTATCTATTTTTATATATCCGCAAGATATTTTGAAGTCGTTGGATATCAGTCACAATTCAATTGAAATATTATAATCTATAACGCGTACAGAGTTCCGATAAAATCGTTCGGAAGATTACTCACGCAAATAAAACGCTTAAGAAATCAAGGAAAATACCGTTCTTTTTTGATTTAAGAGATATACATTTTAGAACCGAAGAATTGTGATCTGTAAATCATAAAACTACACTGAAACCAATTTAGTTTATCAATGATTTTGTTTTGGCTACGGCAAATGTCACATAGGCGCCGGTTGCCGTGTTAATTTTGTATTTCTTAACCGTTATCATGTTTTGAATACGAAGAGTGCATCTCTCTCGAATAATGAATGCCCCTTGTATTTAATGTATTGACTACTTTTTTTACTAAATATCATGTGCAATGTACTCGGACGTATTTTAATTTTTTAGCTACTTTGCTATAAATAATAATCATAATATACGTCATATTGTGTGATCATAAAATTGTATAAGTTTGGGTAGGGGAGTGTAGTGGTTCATTATACAACGCTGTATGATACAAAAATAACGATTCATCACGAATTTCCTCTCGCCGATACTTAAAAGTGGAATATCTCGTCATTGGGTTGATGAAAATCAAAAATGCAAGCACCAAAATTCATTGTAATTAATATCCCGTACATTTTTGGAGTTTTGAATGAAATTCATTAAAAAAATGAACACACTTAAATTTAAGTAGAAAATGGTTTTTCCCTAAAAATTCAGAATAACTAAAAATTACATACATTTAAATTGTTGAATTGCTTCTTATTTAAATTTTTATAACACATAAAATTTGGAAAAAAGTTAATATTTCAAAATTTTAAATGCTCAATGGTGAGATGAAAATAAAATGAATAATAAATAATAGACCATATTACGCTTTTTAATCAAACATTATTCATTAGAACTTTTCATTTTCCTTATATTTCTCCAGTTATTATCAATTAATTAGAAAACCACATAGAAAAGAAAAAATAAGCTACCAATATACCAACCAGATCAAATTTTCTTCCAGAAAGACGTTGTTATTGAATTCTCAATTAAAATTTAGGATATAAAATTAAAATTATGAAACATTTTTGTCGTAAATTTGTGAATTTTTATAGTATATTAATTTCTTATGCAATTTATGAAAATCGAATTTTACTCTTCAATGTATTATTTTCAATTTCAAAATTATATATAAAAAGTTTAAAAAAATTATGTGATATCATCCTATGTAGATTCAATATGTTTAACTGTTCTCCAATAACAGTTAGTTTTTCGTTATTATTCTGTTTGTTTTATCAAATGTGTTGAACAATATTTTACTCATGTATTAAATGTTAAATTGTATTGGATTGAACAAAATTACACTTTTTAATTTAAAATTAGGTTGTTACTACTGCGTTTTTTTGGATAACCTTTATGTTTATTTTTAGTGTCGAAAACTGGTTTATCTAATGGAGATTTTATGATATTGTTTTCCATTGGCGCACATATCGTCCCTGTAGATTCTTTGCAATTTTTAGATTCATATTTCGAGTCTGTCATTTTGTATTTTCCGTTATCGGTGCACAATATTTCTGTAAGTACAAATTAAAATTGAAATAAAAAATTAAGCAATTAATCAGTACAAAATATATTTATATATTATTCACCGGGAAAATAACAATATTTCAATTTATATAATATAATATAATTAAAATATAATTTACTAAATTTCAATAAATTTTATTGTTTCGGTTAAAATTTAAAAAAAATAACTTTTTATTTCATTATTTTTAAAAAAGTGAAGAAATCTATTTCTATAGAGTTTATTCTTATGTAAATTCTGACGTATCGACTTTTTATTTTCATTAATTTTCGGTTTTAATAATTTTTTAGAGTTCAGTGAAAGAAGTTTACAGTCAATTTATTGTAATAGTAATAATAAATTAGAGAATGCGATCACAGTATAGTTAATTTTTTCTGAACTTTTTCACTGACAAACTCTTTTTGTCAAAATATCTATTTTCTTTTTCTTTAAATTTTTAAAAAAAAATAAAACGTTATTTTTTTTAATCTTTACTAAAACATAAAAACTGAATTTCAATATAATATTTGTACTCTTCATCCAATTGAGTAATATATAAATTCTCCAGAGATATTACAATTGGTATAACTTTTTGGGACACCTGTATATGCAATATGTTTTCTATATTATAGAGATTTATTCACCTTGTAATAGTCCATTCTCTACGTTTGTTGTAGTCGAATGGTCATGAGTACTTATTTTCATACTAGGGGTCACGAATTCAATCCCAGGTTTTTAAAAGTAATTATGTGCATTTATTCTTCCCTTATAACTAAAAAGGGAAAATAAAAATGCATTTTAAATGTACCTAAAGTCTCTAGCCATGGTTCGCCCGGACAATTTTAATCGAATAATAGCCCTTGATATGTTGTGCAAACTTTTCTACCAGAAATTTTCCTACCATATATTAAGTGTAATTAATTTTCATAAAGGAAATTTTATCTCCATGGTTTAGGGACGTCATTTTTGTGATTTTTCTATCGGTTTTCATAATAACGGGGAAAATCGGGGTAAAAAATCGGAAAAACAGAAAATGTACGAAATGTAGGTATTAGTGAAAAAATATTATGTTTTTTTTCTTATGTACAACTTTTTCATTAGAAAATATGCTTCTATTTACAATAATAGCAAATTTACTGAAACTAAATCTGATTAGGAAAGTACTTAAAAAGGATCAATTTTCCATTTTTTGAAAAATTTTCTTAGCAAAAGTAATAACCTAGAAAAACGCAGGACATTAGGGAAAATCGATATAATATCAAACAAATATAATTAAATAAAATATGTAAATAATGCCTATTTATTTATTTTACTATAATATGACATACAAGTTTTGTTATAAAGGATCATTATCAACTAAACTGCGTTTAGAATTCTTTTTTCGTTTGCAATGGTTTATCGTTACACCCATTTCCGTTATCCTAGGACGTCTTTTCGTTTTTTAGATTCCAAACGAAGCAGACAACAATTGTGAATAACATTTCACATAGAAATCTTGCTCCAATTTTTAATTGAAACACTTTTTCCGAAATCATTATGGTCTCGGGTGGTACTTGTAGTAGTGTATTTTTTGATTTTCCTAACGTCTGCGGGTCATGGCGTAATAATTTGTACGATTTTACATTTTGTAACTTATGTTTTCTATTATAAATCTTACTCCGGTCAAAAAATAACAAAAGTACATATAATAAACATTTTGAATCGCTTAAATTCAGATAAAAATTACTTACCTATAAATTATACAAATAATGTTATTTGCAATGAAATAATTGATTTGACTCATTGACAGACATGGCTTCTTTAGCAATTATGCACCAGGCTGTAATTGCATTGTAACTTTTATAATTAATTCATTATTTATTTTAATAAAAATTACATTTGTAATTTATATGCGGTTATATTTTTTAACCACAATTAATATAGACGCTACATTGGCATCTGGACTTATGGACAAACGACTCACTTCAAAAATGATTTTCCAGGGGTGTAAAATTTAGTTTAATACACAAATAATAAATTCAGTAATTAATACACGTAGAGATAGTAGAGATATGAAACTAGGTAATAATACTTATATCAGAAATACCCAGACGAGATAAAATTTTCAAAATCGTCTGACGACTTTTTTTTGTTAAAATAGCCGTTTTGAAATCAAATTTAAACGATAATCGCAAACAAAATTACACCAATTCAAATTATATATTACCGAACTGCACTCGGTATTGTCTTTCGTCAAGCAAGGTTTTATCGTTGCTTACAGATATAAATGAAATTACCTTATTATCTTACCTGCCCACCTTCTCACTTACAACAGTAGCCGCTCCCATCCCCGGTAACAGATTATTTTTTTCTTTTTTGTTTATTAGAAAACAAGTAGTCATTCTAAAATGATTGAAAACAGCTAATAATAATTTAATTACAATAGTTACATATTATATGGACGTCAGTACCCTCACCCACAATATGTCATAAATTAAACCAATTTCTTGTTATAAATAATTTTATTATTACGGTCCGTGTAAAAAATATTACAATTTGAAAGAAAAGTTGATTTATTAATAATATCAATACAATGTCATTAATATAAATTGATAATTATTGGTATTTTTAATAATGTAGCAAAGTTCGATTTTCAGTGGTTATTTAATACGGAATAGACTAAGCGTAATACTATGCGAGACACAATACTCCACATTATTAATGGATTGATACATAATATATTTTATGTCCAATAGTGACATAAAAATAAATACTAAATATTTCTTTATATATTCTCCTCGTATAGAACCCGATCGAAAAAAAAAAACCAATAATATAAGACTTATTTGCAAGAGGATAATATTATAGGATACCCCGTTTTTGTTGCTGGGTGCAAAAAGTGCCAATATCAAAAAGAAAAAAATTAAATACATTTTACTAACAAAAATCTCTAGGTAAACTGTATAAAAATGTTGTAAAAAATAATTCTTTTAACATAGGCTCATCTTGCATCAATAAATCCTAAACACGATCGTAATAATTTATGTAACCCTTATTCATGTCACCAAGTATGCAAGTGACGTCATGGTTTACCTATGTGTTTAAACGTTTTACGAAAAACCAATTTGTTTAACCTTTAAGTATACTTTTAATTGTACACACAAATTAAGTTAATAAAGCAAATATTATTACGATTTTAATATTGTTTTATTGAAAATTAATTTTAATTTTAATTTTTGTACAACAACAAGAAAAATTGTTTTTAAAAAGCTAAAAATTTAATTTTATGCGTATTTTAGAAATAAAAATGTTGAATAAAATATTTGACATACCTTTATATGCGTGTAACAAATAACCACAAATAATTATAGGCACAACATTAGCATTTGGACTTATGGACAGACGATTCACCTCAAAAATGATATTCTAGAGGTGTAACGTTTAGTTTTATACACAAATAATTAATTCAGTGATAAATATAGATGTTTGTTAATGCGTCATAATAATATTATAATGCGTTTCTTTTCTAATCACTAGCGTGTCATTAATTTATGAACAATTATTTTTATGGTTAAGTAAAATAATAAATTACTAGAAGTGTGAGTTGTTTAACGGAATTTTATTTTTATTATGTATATTTAAATGTGGTTTATCTACTCAAAATGCACTTATTCGCTGTTTTAATATTCACGAATGGTTTGCTTAATACAAAAATACGTTTTAATATCGTAAAATAAAATATATAAATAAATAGATTATAATAATTTTAACACGAAATAATAATTATTTATCAATTATTAACTTTATCACGTTTCAAAAAAAAAAAAAAAATTAACTAATATTTGTATTTGCTAATTTTTAATATCGTGAAGATATTTTTTTAAGTCCAGATCAATAATTCATCTAATGTACCTGTATACGATTAGATTGTTAGGTGAGTAGAATAAAATATATATAAACACGTGTGATATTAGGAAGTGCATGAGTGTAACACAAACTGCATCTTGATATTAATTATAGTTAGCAATTATAGTTAGTTATTTTTATCCAAAGTCAGAAAAAAATACTCTATTGTACTGTATTACATACAGTGCATAATTTTACTTGTGATAAAATGATATATCTATATACAATATATATATATATAATGTATATTGCACGTGTACCTAGGTATCAATAACTAATGATATTTACATTGTAAATCGGCGTCATTATACTTTTAGAACATGAGTGGAGTGAAGAAGCTATCGTTTTACAAAGATATTTTTTTTTTATTCTATAGAAAACTATTGTACCAGAAGACATTCTCAGATTTCTAAGAATATTCTAAGTATAGCACTTTTTCTAAAAAGAAATCTGTATTGGGAGATATTCGAGCGGGTCATTTTTTAATTTTTTAAAGATGTTTGCCATCTAATTTAAAAAACGAAAAAAAACAGAAAATAAAATAAATGTAGGTATTAGTTAAAATATATTACGGTTTTCTTTTTTTCTGTAAACAACTTTTCAACCAGCAATTTTGCTCCAAATTTTAATGATATCTTTGTTTCTTGAAGGAAATTTCCTTATGGAGGTACTGTTAAAAAGTCATTTTTAATTTTTCCAAGAATTCTCCTAGTAAATGTGAAATCCCAGGAAAAAATAAGGGAAAACCGGGAAAATTTTAGGAAAACTGGGAAAATCGGTTCAACCGTAAACAAATTTAATTAAAAAAAATACAGAAACCCTATTTAATTATTTACTATTTTATTATATACAGATTGTAAATAAAGCATCACTATCAACTGAACTTCGCTCAAAATAATTTTTTCTTCAACAATAAATTATGGTTTCTTACAGATGTACATTAAATTACTTTTAACAGTAATTGTACCCGTCCCTATTATCCTAGAACGCCTTTTCAACATTAATGTTCAGATAGAAGAAAAAGTAAAACATAAAAGTATAATAAATTATAAAACTATGTATTGATTAATAACTAATTACACTATTGTACACA